GGCTGGAGTGTAATGGCGCGATCTTGGCTCACTGCAACCTCCGCTTCCAGGGGTCAAGTGACTCTCCTGCCTCAGCCTCCTGAGTAGCTGGGATTACAGGCATGCACCACCACCACGCCCAGGTAATTTTGTATTTTTAGTAAAGGCAGGGTTTCTCCATGTTTGTCAGGTTGGTCTCAAACTCCTAACCTCAGGTGATCCGCCCACCTCAAGCTCCCAAAGTGCTGGGATTACAGGTGTGAGCCACCGCACTCTGCCTCAGGTGTTTCTTTATAGTAGCATGAGAGGAGGCTAATACACAAATGAAAAGGCTGCCTTTTTATTTTTTTTTTTTTAAGCAGAGTTTTGCTCTGTCTCCCAGGCCACAGTGCTCACAGCTCACTGCAGCTTCAACTTCCTGGGCTCAAGAAATGCTCCTGCCTCAGCCTCCTGAGTAGCTGGGACGACAGGTGTGTGCTGTCACAGTCGGCTTTTATTTATTTATTTTTGTAGAGATGAGATCTCCCCCTATTCCCCAGGCTGGTCTTAAACTCCTGGGCTCAAATGGTCCTCCTGCCTCAGCCTCCCAAAGTACTGGGAGTAAAGGCGTGAGTCACTGCACCCACCAAAAAGCCTTCTGAATGCTGGTGATGCTGACCTGAGCCTGATGGGTTTCAATCCATACTCCGGCTGAACTGAACTCACGCTGACTGGAAGCTCGATCCTTAGTCATTGGAAAAACCAACCCCTTAAGTTTCCTCCGGGTAGAAGAAGGGCTTTCTTTTTGGTGGGAGGATGGGGGTGGGTTGGGGGGGAGAGGGGGAGCTGAGGAGGTGGGAAGATGCAGAGGCGGGAAGCTGGGTCTATGGTGGATGACTTATCAGGAGGGTCTGAGTCTTTGCAGATCGAGTCCTGTGTCCCCACGCTCTATCAAACCAGCTTACAGGGTTTTGGGCCAGTGACGATGTAGACACAAAGTGAGGCCAGAGGTATAGGCACACTTCCCAGGTTGCCTGATGTAGGCTGGGGCAAACCTGGCTGGTCGTCAGAATGGCCTGCAGGGAGGGCCTCACCCTAGGAAGTCTGATTGTCCTGGCCTGGAAGGGGCCTGGGAATCTGCATTTGTAGCCAGTACCCCACTGTGATTGATGCTGCTGCATTGATGAGAAACTGTGGCATCAAGGATTGCAAAGTTTCTGCTCAGGCTCCTGGCTTGGAATGGGGGAGGAATCCGGGCCTGTGGTCAGAGACCTGAGTCTGGGGGGCGGGGGGAGATAGAGAAAGTGATGGAGCAAAGCTGCCAGAGCTGACTGAGCAGGAACTCTGATGCCAGATGGGATGAAAATCCTCCTGAGCTGTGTGACTTAGGGCAAGTGTCTTAACCTCTCTGTGCGTCTGTTTCCTCATCTGTATCATGGGATGATCTAGTTCACCTTGCGGGGACTTTGCTGGAGGAGTTGACTGAATGAATTAATACACAAGGAATGCTTTGCCTAGTGCCTGATAGTTTCCTAACAACAATGCCGTCTATTCTTTGTGATCCAGGAAAATCTCTCCTTTGTAAACTCTTGGACGATTTCCTGGCATAGTAACTGTTCCTTTCTCTGTGTGAGGTCTGTCCATGGTGTGCTGGAAGTCTCCTGCCTGTGTAGCTCATTTCCCCACAGGCTCCTCCAAGCCAGCACCGCTTGGGATGTGGTTTTTGGCTTTTCCTCACAGCGTTTAGCAGCCACACCAGAACTCATCACAGTCCCCAAGCAGCTGTGAGCTGAGGGATCTTTTAGGTCTTTATTCCTGTGGGTTGGAGGCTCCTGAGCCCTGCTATAGACTATGGTTGAGCTGGGGGCCGGGTGCAGTGGCTCAAGCCTGTAATCACAGCACTTAGGAGGCCAAGGTGGGTGGATCACCTGAAGTCAGGAGTTCGAGACCAGCCTGGCCAACATGGTAAACCCCGTCTCTACTAAAAATACAAAAAAAATAGCTGGGTGTGGTGGCACATGACTGTAGTCCTAGCTACTCAGGAGGCTGAGGCAGCAGAATCGCTTTGAACTCGGGAGGTGGTGGTTGCGGTTCGCCGAGGTTGCGCCATTGCACTCCAGGCTGGGCAAAAAGAACAAAACCCGT